AACCAATGGCTTCCTATAAATTTTATTTAATACCTCCATTCATAATTTCAATTAGAAGTAAGCAAAATGGTTCCAGCATAGCAGCTTATTCCTGGTATCCTAGCACTTTTGGTAGCTGAGGTGGGAGGATCACTTGAAGCCGGGAGTTCAAGACCAGGCTGAGTGGCATAAATAAGACCCTTTCTTTACAAAAAAAAAAAAAAGAAGAAGAAGAAGAAGAATTAGCCAGGCCTGGTAGTGTATGCCTGTGGTTCCAGCTCCTTGAGAGGCTCGAGGCAGGAGGGTTGCGTGGATCCAAGAATTTGAGGTTGCAGTGAGCTTCAAGCATGCTACTGCACTATACCCCAGGCAAGAGAGCAAGGCCCTGTCTCCAATAAAAGGGTAGCAAAATGAATTGCTGGATTAGCTGGAGCCAACCAGGAGAATTGTATCCTTGGTCATGGGAGATAGTAGAAAAAAAGACCCTAAAAGAAGGAGGAGCGGACTTAGTCTGGGACAACTCTAAAATTTGGCTGTGAAGTAAGAAAAAAATCAGTAACAAATGAAGATAGAAAAACCATTTACGAAATAATTGGGAAAATAATAGTGCTAAAACATAGTAGACGTTAAGGAGTTATTGGTTTTTATTTTCCTTTAAGGAATTGTGGTTATATTAAAATGAAAAGTCTTATCTCTTAGAAGAAGAGAGATGTATACTTGAATTAAGATTACTTGGATTTGCTTTGAAGTGATTGCCAGTGAGAGCAGAGAAGTAAGGTTGGCTTTGTGTTAATAATTGTTGAAACTGGATGATTACCCACAGTAGAAAGTTTTAAAATGTGGCAGAGGAAATTAGCCACATATAGAAAGTTAGTATTTGTGTGGATTGAGAAGTTAGCAAGGAGGACTGAAGGTTAAAGTAATTAGTTTGTAATTTCAAAGAACTAACGATTGTAAGAGCATCAAAATAGCCAGGCATGGTGGCTCACACCCATAGCACTTTGGGAGGTTGAGATAGGAGGATCACTTGAAGTCAGGAGTTTGAGACCAGCCTGAGCAAGAGCAAGATGCCATCTCTAAAAAAAAACCCAGAAAAATTAGTTGGGTGTGGTGAGAGGTATCTGTAGTTCCAGCTACTCAGTAGGCTAAGGCAGGAGGATCCCTTGAGGCCAAGAATTTGAGGTTGCTGTGAACTACAATGACACCACTGTACTCTAGCATAGGAGACAGAGCGAGGCACTGTCTCAGCTGCCCACCATCAAAATATAACATGGCAAAAATTGCTGTGATACAGTTAAAATTCACTAACCTAATCTTAGTAAATAACTGCAAAAGCTAAGTCTTAAGAAGGGAAATGGTAAGCATTAAATTTAAGAGTGATTGTTTATCCCAGTGACTGCTTATTTCCTAGACCCAAAAAGGAGATATAGGGTCAGAGGAGGGGACTTCCAGGATTCTCCATGTCCAAAATCAACATTTCTTTACAAAATGTGATCCACGAACCACTTGCACTAACAGCACTGGGTTATTTGCTAAAAATGCAGAATCATAGCTCTACCCCAGTTTTACTGAGTTAGTATTGTGGAGGGGAAGGAACCCAGGTTCCTATACTTTAATAAAACCTTCCTAGTGAATCTTAGCACATGTAAGGTTGTGAAAATTACAGATAAAAGATGACAGTAGCTACCTCCTATGGAGGAATTTTATCAAATGCCAGATAACATGCTGAACTCTTTACATATATTAGCTTTGTATATATTAATAATTTGCATATGTAGGGGAAGAAAAAAAAGTTTTTTCAACCCTCATGAGTTCTTAATTAGAACGGACCCCTGTAACAAAAGGCAGATTAACCAGAGAGAGAAGCAGAAGTTTATTGACATGTATATTTCATATATATTCATGAGAAATACCCAGTGAATAAATAATTCTCAAAACAATATGATTTTCAGTTTATAAAGCATTTTCAACAAAGAATGGTAAATTTTTAGAGAAGTAACAAGACAAAGGAAAAGTGTGTCTAGGGGCAGCAGCTTGTGGGAAGGCTAATACATGGTAAATAAGGGAAACTAGCAAAGCTTGTTAATGTAGATTCCTTTGGTGCTATCTTCTGGCCCATAAGGACCTAAAGTGTCATCAGTGGTTAACCTTTGTTCTTTCTGACAGAGGGAGAGGCAGGATATCTTTTGTTTTTGTGCCAAAGAAGCCTATTTTGGAGTGACATATTCTAGTCTCTCCCATGCATACATTAATCTTCATAGCCTTATAAGGTAATTGATAAGGAAAGCTCGCTCACTTTAGAAAAATTAAATTACTTGCTGAAGGTCACCCAGTTATAAATGCAAAGCAGACTTCAAACGAAATTGACTCCAAAGCCTGTCCTCTTAGCTACTGTACCACTGCCTCCCATCAGCCTCTTTGATGTTGTGCCGACCACAGAAAGATATCCATGCATGTATTGGCCTTACACATGCCCTTTGTGGGGCAGATGTGTCCTATGTAGAGGGTGTGAATATTGCAGTCGCTAGGGCAGGAATAGCTCCTATTGTAAATTATTTAGGTGTCTGGTTTATACATTAACCTTTTTTAAGGTTGTTCTGAATCAGTCCGGAAGAATACTCGAAGCCTGTACTTTATAAAATAGCTTGCACAAATTCTGCAGCTAACATATATACATATATATATATTATTTTTTTCCTGTGATTCTAAAGCTTTTTTCCACTGTGATATTCCTAAGAGATTGCACATTCCCATCAGTGACCGGTACTAGCATTGCTAGCCAGAGAGTGAGATTAAGTGCCTACTTCTATAGTTCTGAAAAAGCTTTGCCTATGAGAATTAGTGGTTGATTTTCAAGGGACCAAGAGAAGCTGGGCAGGATTGAGACAGTGAAAAATAAACAGGCTTTTACAGGTCCCTGATGTGTGCTCACTTATCTCATTTAATCCTGTCACTTCTACATGGTAGATACTAACATAATCACTATGAATTCCTAACCCCAAAAGCTCTGTAAGCTAAAATTTTTTTAAGTTTGCAGAATTTGTATTTGGAAGCAAATTCTGACCTGAATTGATGTGAGGCTGTTTATAATCTTTGTTCATACTTTTGATGTAGGCATATTAATGCTTGATTACAGGGTGATGCCCAAACCTCACAATTGATATTATAAAGTATAAGGTATGTGTAAGGTACGAGTGCCACGTTGTCTTTCTAAAATTCAAGGAATTTTCCAAAACACTTTTGGCCCCAGGAGTTTCAGATGAGAGAGTTGAGGTTAAAGAGAGGTTAAATGTTTATTTAACATATTGCTGCTGAGTTATTTAACTAACTAGATTTGAAAAATAAGGCCATATAGGGTGGCACCTGTGGCTCAAAGGAGTAGGGCGCCAGCCCAATGTACTGAAGGTGGCAGGTTCAAACCCAGCCCCGGCCAAAAACTGCCAAAAAAAAAAAAAAAAATTCCATATATACTTTTAACACTTTACATAAGAGGCCTTTGAATATCATGTAGCTCATTCTTTGAAAGAACTTTGTCATTGGCCTTGCAAATACTTGTGTAGTCATAAGAAACCTCAAGAAGAGTGTTTTCTGGCTTGGTGCCTGTAGCTCAGTGGTTATGGAACCAGCCACATACACCAGGGCTGGCGGGTTCAAACCCTTCTCCCCACCTCCCCCCCTTCCCCCGGCGGGCCTGCTAAACAACAATGACAATTACAACAACAAAAAATAGCTGGGTGTTGTGGGGGCACCTGTAGTTCCAGGTACTTGGGAGGCTGAGGCAAAAGAATTGCTTAAAACTGAGAGTTTGAGGTTACTGTGAGCTGTGACGGTATGGCACTCTACTGAGGGTAACATAGTGAGACTCTGTCTCAAAAAATACAAAAGAGTGTTTTCAAAGTCAAGTCCTCAGTCTATTATCACTTCATCATTAGTAACATCTCAAACCTCTTTTTTCCTCTTTCTGATCAGGTCCATGGAAATATGAATATTTCATTTGGAATATCTGCATTTTAGCATCTTTGGGAGGAGTTAAGTGAGAGGATCAAGTTGACAGCACTGCAGCATTAAGATTGTGATTATTGGGTGGCGCCTGTGGCTCAAAAGAGTAGGGTGCCAGCCCCATATGCCGAAGGTGGTGGGTTCAAACCCAGCCCCGGCCAAAAAGAAAAAAAAACTAAAAAAATGATTGTGATTATTCCTCTTTATCCTTGGCTATTTACAAACCAGTATTAGATTATTTACTAGAGTAAATAGTAAGTTATGCTAGCCTCTATCCTCACACCAGTTGGTGTTGGTATTTACTCTAGTAAATACTCTGGAAAATTTCTTACAAATAAAGAGGATAATAGTGATGTAACATTCTCATAGAACTAAGAAAATAGCAGTGGTCTTTGAAGAATATTAAGCCAAAGTATTTCTTTCTGGTTAAATCAATGGACTTTTCAGGTGGTACCTGTGGCTCAAAGGAGTAGGGCACCAGCTCCATATGCCAGAGGTGGCGGGTTCAAACCCAGCCCTGGCCAAAACCTGCAAAAAAAAAAAAATCAATGTACTTTTCACTACTTTATATCTAGAATGTCATACTCAGAAAACAATTGGCTTGATTAAAATTATTTAATCATTGTCCCTGGTTCCTGGCATAGAGCTCCTTAACCTTTGGAATTTCTTGGAAGGATGGGGACTTTGTCCCCAGAGGAACCAATCATGTGATTAGAGCATTGGAATTATTGTTCCCAACCCCCAACCTTGGAGGGGGAGAGGGACTGAAGCTGGATACGTTCACCAATAATGCCTATGTAATAAAGCATCCCTGAAACTCTGAAATGGGTCTCAGGGAGCTTCTGCATTGGTGAACAAATGGACTTGCTGGGAGGCTGGGGAGCCCAGAGCTACAGCATTCTACTGGCCTCTGGCCTCTATCCTCACACCAGCTGGTGTCAGAGAATCAGAGAATTGGTGTTGGAACATTGCAGGTGTCTCATCTGTTTCTGTCACCTAGTCCCAATCATCTTCTCTTACAGTATCTGACCAAGCAGGTGGAGCTTCTGCGGCAAATGAATGAACAGCATGCAAAGGTTTATGAGCAATTAGATGTCACAGCAAGAGAACTGGAAGAAACAAATCAAAAGCTAGTGGCTGACAGCAAAGCCTCACAGCAAAAGATTCTGAGGTAAATTTTCTAGAATTTACAGGGGAAGCCCCAGGGGGAGTTACTTATTATAAACTATTAATAGAATAGAAGGTGGCTGCTGCAAGTTTGGGTGGACATGGGGTAAAGTTGAACTTAATTCTTTTTTGAGAGTGGAGATTAACCAGAAGTCCTTTCCAATTAAGAAAGCCCAGTTTGAGTGGCTTGCACCTAATCTCATCTCACCTCTTTTGTCCTTAATCTAATGTGACAAGCAGCAATTGGCTTCTGTCTATTCTTCACAGCTTGACTGAAACAATTGAATGCCTACAAACCAACATTGACCACCTCCAGAGCCAAGTGGAGGAACTGAAGTCATCTAGCCGTGGGAAGAGGAGCCTGGGGAAGTGTGACCAGGAGAAATCAGCACCTAGTTTCTCCTGTCTTAAAGAGCTGTATGACCTCCGCCAGTAAGAGCCTGCCTTTCTGTGGATTTACAAGCAGGGACTGTCTCATGTCATTGACACATTCTGGATTCCAGTAGATTGAAACTACCATTTTAAGAAACACCCCTTAGCTATTAAACTACCAGTGATTTGAACAAAGCCATTTAACTTAAACATGCAAATTCTAGAGTTCTTGGGTATTAGTTATTCTGTCTTCAGAGCATTTATTTCAGTGGTTTTTAATGTGTTAAATCATAGTTTAAGATGATTTACTTCCTATAGATTACAGGTTTGGGGGTTGTATTTTACCTTAGTGTGAGGGGAAAAAAATGGAAACTTCAGTAAAACAAAAATCCAGGAAAGCACTAGCTTTTTTAACCCATAGAAATGCCTTTATGGGGCAGTGCCTGTGGCTCAAAGGGGTAGGGTGCCAGCCCCATATGCCGGAGGTGGTGGGTTCAAACCCAGCCCTGGCCAGAAACTGCAAAAAAAAAATAATAATAATAAATAAGAAATGCCTTTATGAGTTTGAATATTTAAGAACTGTTTATTGAACACTTACCATATAGGAAACTATGCCAATGTTAAGAAATGATGGCCAAAATAGACGCAGTTCCTGCCTTCATGAGCCTTTAGTCTAATGGAGAGGCAGGCAAGCAAAGAAAGCATAAATACAGTCTTGGTGCCCAGAGCACAGTGGTTACGGCTCCAGCCACATACACTGAGGCTGGCGGGTTCAAACGTGGCCCAGGCCAGCTGAACAACAATGACAACTGCAACAACAACAACAAAAATAGCCAGGCATTGTGGTGAGCACCTCTAGTCCCAGCTACTTGGGAGGCTGAGGCAAGAGAATTACTTAAGAATTAGAGGTTGCGGCTCGGAGCCTATAGCTCAACCGGCTAAGGCGCCAGCCACGTACACCTAAGGTGGCGGGTTCAAATCCCCAGCCC